GTGGATCATTTCATGATTCTGAAAGTTTGTTGTCTTGTACACACTTCTGTCTGTAAGGAAAGTGTTCATTTCCATAAATACTGGCATGATGGGATTCTGCTTCTGAAGAAGATGCCTTTGAGAATTGAAGAATCATTCCTGAAAGAGAGGGAAAACAGGAGTGTATATGCAGAATGTACAGCAGAATATACTGCTCTGTATACAATTTCCTACCTTTTCTGATGAAGACTTCTCTGAAATCAGACTCTTTTTCCTAGGGGAATTAGATTGGAACCAAAGCAACATGCTTAATATTGTCACTATTCTTCTCCTCCCCCAGTCTTCAAAAGAAACAGAAACCGCAACAACTTACAGTCCTCTTAAAAGGTTTCAGAACTTCTGTAGAATAACTTAAAATTCAGAAACTGTGGATGAGCTATACAGTATTTTCCAACCTGCAAACATTGAGCCCTGTCTGAAGTATATGTCTCAATAGACTGAATTTTGAGTAATTACTACCTTTCTGCAAATAAAATTTGCTCATGGTGGAGCAGGTGGATGTGGCCTGGAGGAGGCTGCGGCCCATGGAGAGCCCTCACAGGAGCAGGCCCCGGGCCGGAGCTGCAGCCCATGGAGAGGAGCCCTCGCAGGAGCAGCAGGTCTGGGGGGAGCTGCCACCCAACTGTGGGGGACCCGTGCCGGAGCAGTTTGCTTCTGGGGGATGGATGGACCCCGTGGTATGGAGATGTGTGGGAGCAGTTCTTGGAGAGCTGCTGCCTGTGGGCAGCCCCCACAGGCTCAGCTGGGGAAGGACAGCATCCCATTGGGAGCAGGGGCAGAGAGAGGGACCTTGAAGGAGTAGTGATGAAGCATCAGGGACTGACCGCAGCCCCTGTTCCCCTGTGCTGCTCAGGAGGGGAACATAGAAGAGGGCGCATGGGGAGAAGGTGTTTGTAGTTTGCTTGCAGTTTCTCACTGTTCTAGTCTGCTACTGATAAGTAATAAATTATTTTAATCTCTCGATGCTGAGTCTATTTTGCCCACGATGATAATTGGTGGGGGATCTCCTTGTCCTTATTTCAACCCTTGATTCATCCTATTTTCTTCCCCTCTTCCTTTGAGGAGGGGGAGTGAGAGAGAAGTTGTGGTGTAGTTTATTTGCCCATCACAGTGAAACCGCCACAGTTGCATGGTTGCTGTGATTCTTCCAATTAGACACAGAATGCTGAAGTATCAAAAAACACTGAAATATGTTCCTTTACAAATATTCCAGCCTCTACTGATGCTCTTTGGCTAGGATCACCAGGATTCATAGAAGCTGTGAATTGTTGGTTCCGTGCAGCTGTTCAGAGGTATGAAAAAATTCCTAGGACAAATTAGGTTCTGGATATATCTGGGCTCTAGTCCATTGCAGATTTTTGCCAGAGCTTGCTGCTATTCTTTACATTGATTTAATTATAAAGTTTTGATTATCTTATTGATTTAGTGAAGCTGTGCCTGTTTCTCCCATAGCTGATTTTGGCTCAGTGATTTCAGATGGAGACAACTGAAGAGAGATCTCACAGGCTTGGCCAGAAGGTGATTCCCTTTTGACGTTGCCTACAACAATCCCCGTCTAATTATGCTATGCATCAATACATAAACTACACAGAAAATGAACTGAGTCAAGCCAAGGTCTTGCAAACTTTACTAGATGAGCATGTCTGACACAGCTTTTTGCCAACAGCTGGCAAAAACATCATATTTAGAGCAGAGATCAGCTCAGATATGAACTGGATTCTTAGAATGTGTCTGCATATAACCAGAATATATGAAATATATATTTTAGGTCAGTCATGTCTGTTTCTTCATGGAAAAGGTGGCTTTGTCTTGTGTTGCTTTTTTTCCATAGTATTACTAATATTAAGTAATTTATCAAGGCTTTTTTTGTTTGTTTGTTTTTTGTTTTATATATTTTTAAATTGCTAACTTTATTGAACATTTAACAACTCATCATTCGGGCTAAAATACTATAATACAGATGGGCATTGCTGATATTAAAACACAAAACAGATTGCTGCTATTTAGGGACACCATTTATTATTCTACAAACAAAGCAATTTCAGGCAAATTAGTTTTGGTCATGTAATAAGGGAAAAGTGGAGGTAAGGGAAGTCTGCTGTACAAGCTAAGTTGACTGGCACTGATGTAGTCAGAGAAGCTGATGTTTTATCATCCTACTATTGTAAAAGATGTTTAACTGCAGACATATGGGTTAAACTTCTGGCCATTCCACATGGAACAGTGATACCCTACACAGGATTAACTCCTAGACACTATTGAAAAGGTCCATTTATAAACATAAAAAAAGCATAAACATAAAAAGCAAATTTTCTGTGTTTAGCATTAAAGAATATCACAGAGTTTATAAATTTACTTTCCAATAAATTGATTATTATTTTTTTAATTAAATTATTTGCACAGTGTTTGTTTGCAAAGCTGTTTTTATGAGGTGTAGAGTGCCATGATTATCGTTTGTTTGTTTTTTTTTTCCTATACTCAAGGATAGATAACAATGAAAGTAGTCCTGAAACACATATTTATCTTCAATCTAGTATAAAAACACTAGCAGGTTTAATGACTCAGGAAGACTGAGTGAAGGAACTGACCCTATGTGGATAGTAAATATGTTGCTCCAAACCTTCATTTCCAGTGAATATTGACACCTGAGTGTCCTTAAAAAGAGAACCCCTTGTACTCACCTCTACAATTTAATCAGGATTTGAGTTATGTTTTCCTTTTTTTCTAGGCCAGATATAATTTGGATATATATTTTTATATATATACTGTGAAAATGGAAATGCATGTTTTAAGATTTCAGTGAAGATATTTAGAATTTATTTACAGTATAAAGTCTGGAGAAAATTAAGAATCCCCTGTGACTTTTAAGGTGCAAGAAGTATTTGGAGTTTAGGATTTCTGTTTTCTTTTGCTGTTGGCAAACCTTTTTCATGTTTTCCAACTCCAGTTTGGCTGTGATCCAAGATCCAGTGTTTTTCATCACAGGGAGTCTTTCTGTTACCTTCTACAAGTGTTTGATAAGGCTTTTTTTTTAAACTTGAGAATTAACCGTGCTTCCTTCTGGGTTCTGTTACCTGTGTGATAATCCATAGCTATGGAAGTTCATAGCTATGGAAGCTTTGTAAAGTTGTCACTAAAATGAATGAACTTACTTGAAATTCCTGAAGAAATTAATGGAAGAAAACAATATGCTATCTTTGTGCCATCTATTACATGTTATAGTGAACATTTAGGTAAAATTTTACTTCAGGTATCAGATATTTTGTAGCTACAATGAATTGAATGAAGTCTTTATGACTACCAGCAGAGACCAAGCTCCATTATCGTGTAAGCTTGTAAAGGAAGGAACTCTATCAGGGGTATAATTACCTGTCATCTTTAATTAAACAGCAGTACTGTGCACAAACACAACCTCTAAAAGGAAAAATAAATAAATAAACTACAGAGAACCAGTGCAGCTCATGCTAGTGTTCTGATAGCTTTGCTTGAAACAGTTTTCCAATCTCAGTAACATACTGCAGGAAAAAAAGTACTTATTCTGGTGAAGTTGGAAACTTGTATAGTTTTTCTTGAATATATTAAGCTATGAATATTATCTATACATTGGTACTGCATAGCAGAGTTAATGAAGCTGTTAGCATGATCTGTCATGCCAGAAAAGATCCTGAAAATAATTAGAAAGTGACTGTGAATATTTAGATAGGGCACATATTAGATATGTCACATTCTCTTGTAGAAGATACAAGTTTGCATTAGAAAAATATTAAATGACCTCCTGCAACTCAGTAGACTTAAGTCAAGAATATAGACTTCGTGAAGTCTATTATGCTTGTGAAGTCATACTGTTTTAGTAAAAGGCATGAGTTTCTATGTTACGCTTCTTATAAGATGTGTACAGTATTCTTTAAAAAAAAAAAAATCAAACATAAATTTTATATTTTCATTGTCATAAGAGAACTGCAAGCATTTTTTTTTTCCAAACAGATTTGGCAAGTGCGTGTTCATCTATTTCTACTTCTACTTCTACTTTATTTTTTTTTTTTTTTTATATCACATATGTACATTAAGTACTGTAAAAAAAAAAAGACAAATTTTAGATGGGTAGTATGTGCAACAGGTAATGGGAATGTGTAGGTTAAACTGAAAAATGAAAAAAATAATAAGGGAAAATAAGGTTGATGCAGGATCAACAAATTTTAATAATATATGTTTAGAATGTTGGTTCCATTAACAATGATGAATCGCAAGGGTTCTTTTCATTATCTGCCAGTTCAGATCACCTTACCTCTGTATGATGGGAAGAAAGAGCAAATTGGTGAATATAATTACATCTTTTCATTATTTTGCTCCTAAACACAGACTGAAATTGTAGTTAACTTGCTCCACACACTTCAGGATTATTTACTTAAAGTTGTTTAGGGATACATGAAGATTTCAAAAATCTATTTAAGGGGTACTTGGGAGTGAAGAATTAATTAGACCGTTTCCTGTTTAAATGGTAGACATTAAAAGACAGGGTAGGATTACACTTGTACATATCATAGAATCATAGAATATCCTGAGTTGGAAGGGACCCTTAAGGATCATCAAGTCCAACTCTTGACAATATAGTGAAACAGAGCTTAAATTCACTGGAAGAAATATTAACTCTCCAGAATTAAATGAAATGCAAACCACAGTAAAATTCAAATTCTTGAGGACTGTGAAACTCAGAGCTATGGGGTCAATATTTTCTTAATTTTAAATGATTTTAAGATATTTCCTTATTTTGATTGTAAAACAGCATGAAAAAATAAAATAAAAATCTTACAGCAGGCATATCTTTATCAAAATGCAGTGCTCAGAGGATTGTGATATCCATACTGGTGTGCTCAGATGATCCCTTTGATTGCATTAACACGTGCTTTTTAGTAACCTGTTCTTTGTCTAAGTTACTGTAAATGATCTCTGATCCCCTGCAGTGCAAAGAAGAGGTTTGCTTAAAAACAATGACAAAGGAAGCCCCCTACAGCTGGCGAAACCCTGTTAAAGTCATTCTGAAGATTATTACTGTGGTCATAGGTAAGTGTCTGCTCCATACATGTCTGTCTCAAGAAACAGGCCTCTCTGCTTTGTAGTAGTAGTGTACAAGTTATGCAAAATGTAACAGAGGAAAAAATGGGATGTTTTTGCGCCAGTATTACTGAGATAATGCTGGTTCAAATTTTGCTTCCAACTCTGTTATAGTACAGGTATTTCTTCTACCTTTAACATATTTCAGTGTTAGGTTTCTTCTGTAAAATAGGTATAAAAATGCTGCCCTAGAGCACAGAAGGACCATCAGCCCATCAGTTCTTTCTTATTAAAAGACAGATTTGTTTTTGATTGGAGTAAGGGGGTAAAAAGCCCTGGAAGAGTGCATGAATACTAAATAGCAACTATAAACACAAAAATACTGATATGGTAATATACAAATCTTTTATATTCCTCTTGCTGTTCCAAGAATGGTTTATTCAAGGCAGACAGATAATTCCTGATCAATGGATAAGTTATAGCATAAACATGTGCCACTAAACAAAATTAATTAAAAAGAAGCAAAAGTCATTCTCTATAGCATCCTTATGGGTACAGTGAAGATAAATACAGGAAATTAAATTTGTGAGGTGAGGTTCATATATTAGTTATTATACCTGCATTTTATTTATTTTATTTTATTTTATTTTATTTTATTTTATTTTATTTTATTTTATTTTATTTTATTTTATTTTATTTTATTTTATTTTATTTTATATTATTATTTTTTTTTATGAATGGAAAAAGACACCTCAGTAGGCCAGTAAATAAGAATTACCTTTACTAATAATGGTCTGTAGGCTTAGTAGTGAATTTGCATGACCTCCAAGCTGGTATTTGTCAAACTTACCTTGTCTGAATTCATCTTGTATTGCCTTGGAGCTTTGCTTTAGCTTGCTTAGGTGTAATAGTAATTTTCCTAAAAATCAGTTTGCTATGCCAATTTTCACAGAATTTCAGGCTCCCAGAGGTTGGAAGGGGCTCTGGGCATCATCTGGTCCAACCTTCTGCTCAAGCAGAGCCAGCTAGGGTAGGCTAGCCAGGATCATGTCTAGTCAAGTTCTAGATTTCTCCAAGGATGGAGACTCCACAACCTCTCTTAGAAGCCCGTGGCAGTGTTAGTGGGAAAACAAACAAATAAACAAAAAAAAAAAATTGTACGTTTAAATGGAATTTCCTATATTTTGTTTTTCTTTCTGCTTTATCTTGTCCATTCACTGGATACCTCTGAGAAGAGTTTGGCTCTGACTTCTTTACTTCTCTTAGTAGAAATTCATAGTCATTTTTAAGGTTCTCCCTGAACTTTTCTTCTCTAGGCTGGACAGTCAGAGATATAACAGATGCTTCAGTCTCTTTATCATCTTGATGAGCCTTAACTCACTCCAGTGTGTCCATGTGTCTCCTGTACTGGGTTGCTGAGAGCTGGACCCAGCACAGCACTCTAGATATGATCTCACCAGAGCCGAGCAGAGAGGAAAGACCACCTCCCTCAATACTGGCAGTGCTCTTCCTGGTGCAACCCAGGAGGCTGTTGGCCACCAGCCACCTTTGCTGTGAAAGATGTTTGGCTGGCTCGTGGTCAGCTTGGCGTCCACCAGCACCTCAGGTCCTCATCTGCAGAGCTGCTATCCACAGTGTGTACTGGTGCCTGTTGTTGTGATTTTTTTTTTTCTTTTTTTTTTTTTTTTTCCCCAAGGTGCAGGACTTCACATTTTCTTTTGCTCTGTGGTATAGCCTTGATTTTAACATAGGTAGTAGCAAGACGTAGTTATTCTGTTTAGACTGAAATGATTGTGGTTTTATTATAATGATGTAGTGGAGAGGAATACAGTCCTGGTCATTTAGTCAAGTCCTTAAACGTGGGGATCTAGAATACAGTGTAGAGACGTGAGATGGCAGGAAAAAGGGGCACAGGCTGGTACTGAAGATACTAATGGTCAGTTAAAGAAATACAGACCTGGAACTGAGTACAGCCAGTTTTAGGACAGAAAAGAAAGAGCAACATCCTACATATGTAAAGCATGACTTATTAAATATTTGGATGCAATGTCTGCTTGCAGGCCTGTGAAGAAGGAGGAAGGTTAAAAAAAAAACAACGTGTTAATAAATAATCAGAAATTGCCCCAGGCAGATTCTAGAGAGAGTAGTAAGAAGAAATTATGGACATCATACTCCTCCCAGAAAGTGGGACTGAGGATGCTGACAAGACATTGTACACCTCCCACCCCAGACATTGAAGCAATTGATTTTAGGATCCAGAGAAGGCAGTGAAGGTCTGAAGAAATAGTCATAGATACTAGGCATGTGCATGTAACAATTTTAAATCTATTCTTGAGACTTTTTCTGTAATAGTATTCTTTCTTTCCCCTGTTTTTATAATAATTAGATGTGAATTAACACTAACTCGTGGATTGAACTATTAACATTTCAGGCATTAAAATGGTAAATACTTGACTTTATATGTAAGGTGTGCTTTTAGACCATAGCTAGACTTTGACTGTAACACTATGATCCTTCTTTTTATTCAAAAGTCTCAGTTGGCCCAAACCACTGTTGAGAGAAATAAAATAGAAGTCTGAAGGGTGGCTCAGGCCAAGATCCCCTTTCATTTCTACCTGAAAATGTGTGCTTGCATATTAGTGCTTTTATGTACCTCCCTGTAACCCTAACTTAATATTCTCTCAGTTCCAGAAGCATGCTCTATGCAATTAGTGTCTGTGAGGAGAAAGTTGCATGTTCTCTGAAGAAATTATCTCTGCTACTCTGTCTGTACAATTAATTCTGTATTGGCATGTAGGAATTCAAAGCCTTAGCTCTTTGCCTGCTGATTCAGGTTTTATGGGAATTAGTATGTAGTTTGTAAACTCAATCTCAGAGCAAAGCTTCCTTATTATGCCTTTACTTTGTTTGTTTGTTTATTTATTTATTTATTCATTCTCCCCCTCTGGTAAAGGAAATGATTCATAGGTGGTTCCTTAGCAAGGAATGCTGTTAGATGAGAAATCAGAGAAGAAGTCACTTAATATACACTGCATACATTTATTCATTCAAGACAATAGATGTTCAAATGTCACCACTTGCTTAACCACCATCAGAACCTAGGAAACTTAGCCATTTATGTACAAAAAGTATCACGTTTAATGCAGGTGCTGTCGCTGTTACTTAATACCAAAATAATTACTGCAGTAACACATGCAAGGAGAAGTACACACTAGTGAAAAGAAAAAGCTTCATTTAAGCTCAAAAGCCTTTAACTTTGTCACTGAAAATAATCACAGAAATTATCTTTGCAGCAAAAGATAGTGGATGATAGAAAAAAATGGATGGTGTTAAGTCATACATTTTAAGAAAGCTCTACCTCATTTTTGGCCTAAATAAAGCCTTCAGTCACAACTGAATTGATATGCTCAGTTTCGATTAGAGTATGGTCTCTCCAGAATTATGTCATTGGCAGAATAAATTAACCATTGCTTTGCTTTCACAAAAATGAACAAATGTAGCTTGATTAGACTTAAAAGAGGAGGGCTGTCTGTGTCACAAGTTTTTCAGTGCACTTCAGATGAAGGGCTTTGAAGGGCTTGATTTAAAAAAAAAAAAAAAAAAAAAGAGAGAGAGAGAGAACTAAAAAAGAAGCTAATTAAGGATGAAGGCAAATAATGCAAAAGAGTAAACTGTGGAGTTTAAAGTTGCACTAATCCTTTGTAGTTAAGTTAAAATTGGTGAGAATAACAGTTTTTTTCACTATGGTGTAATTTCTACTACATTTTTCCTTTTCCCTCCATTAAATTCTGATCTCAGCTAAATTCTGTTTCAGAGACATCCATAATAAGCTTGTCCTTGTTGTTTTCCATGCAAGAGATGATTAAGATAGACTTTCTGATTGAACAACAAATATCACAGCAGGTTTGGAAATATCATCCTGCACTGTATAACTGATTAAAATAAAAATATCTAATGCCAGCCTTGTACTCATACCCAGTCAAGTCTTTTCCCCAATGTTTTTCTTACTACCGAATATTTCACTGCAGTCTACTTTTTCAGAAACAAAAGCACACAAGTGAGGTCCCTGAAGAAAATGCTGTTTGAATTAAAAAAAAATCCTTAGTGCTACCTACATCCATATGAATGGAAAAAAAATGGTATTCGTTTTAACATCTAAGGATATGAACGTATAAGGAAATTTGCAGGTAGAATCTAGAATACTTCTGTATTTGAAAACATGTGAGAAACAAATATACATTACTTCCAATATTCATCACAGTAGAATAAATTATGATGGAGAAACTGGATAGGAGAATGAAAATTAAAATTAATCCACTCAAACTGAGCAGTAAACATATGCTACATGGTGGAGATAATAAAGGATACGATTTCTCTGCTTTCTGTAAAAAATGGGAAATAAAAAAGAAAACAATATTTCAGTATACTAAAAAGGTTAAGGATTTTTTTTTTTTTTTTTTTTTTTTTTTTTTTTTTAGGGGTAAGACATGGTAAACACAGCAATTGAATTACATCAGAGGGTATCCATTCCATGCAGTGAAATATATTATGCAAAGGCTTTTGACCTTTAAGAAAATATGTTGATGATTTTCCTCTGCATACAGAAAAATGTCAGCATAGGTGTAAATAAATGTCATTAACTTTGTTTTTGCATTCAGAATATATCCACAAGGACCAAGATGTGCTGGTATTCAGACACATGAAAAGAGAGCATTCAAACCACCGATTAACCTTCCTAATTCACTTGACTGCTCAGGCTGCCTCAGTGATGGCAATCTCCCACATTATTAAGGAAATAGGTCCTTATCAAGCCTATACAGTATGAGTATGCATGTTGTCTTACCACAAAAACTACATGCACTGCATGTATTCATGCCATGTTCTGAAGATCTGCTGTCTCAGGGAAGTGAAGAAGTCCACTTCCAATTTTCTATTTCTTCAAATATATGTATATAGAAGAAATAGAAAATGAAGAAATAACACTTCACTTTGATACAGAAATTATTTTA